CCACGGTCACTGACGCAGGGGCGTGCTTGGACCACGGCTAACGGAACGGCTCGTAGACGGCAAGTCGGATGGACTCGGTGTACGGGCACGCACTCGGCGGCTCAGCTCCAACGGTCAGACGAGAGGCGATCACGGGCACGAGACGACGGGCACGAGACGACGGGCACGCATTATAAATTACAATACGATGGTTAAAGATTATCTAGACGGTACTAGAGTTCAGGCGATTAAATACGGATCTGGAATTTACCCGGTTATTGAAACCGGATAAAACTAGAGTTCAATTCTGGAAGATTCCTAACTCATTTTAAGTCAATATTTAAATCACTAATTTCTATGTAATTTATATGGATTTTACATCCATCAATTGTAGCTAAAATCATATCCGACTAATTTTCTAAAACACCGCATTCCTCGGCTAAAATCCCGATCTTATAATTAAGTCAAACGGTAATAGTTGACCTGATTATAAATTCCGAGAGAATAGTTCTGTAATGAAACCAAAGCAACTCCTTTTTTTATTATTATTTTGCAATATAATGTTTTAAAATTGACATATTTTGTCTCAAATTACATAAAACTAAACTATTTCTCTTGAAATTTAAAATTTTTAAAATGGCACTAGAGATCTATAACGAAATTAATGATAAAATTTAAATAAAAATTCAAAACTAATTTATGACTTTTGATATCCATAACTTTTAATAATTAATTTTCGATTGATGAATCAATTATTAAAATTGAATGGAGGTGAAGATGATGATTAAAGGAAGTGACGCCACTTTACTAGACCGTAAGCCTTGGTGACAACTCTCGTGTACTACGATGACGCCACATAACCCAAGCTAGAAGGTGAGTCACTTGTGCAAATATAAATAGGTAAAATTGAATGGAGGTGAAATATGATGATTAAAGGAAGTGGTGCCACTTGTCTAGACCGATAGATCGATGAAAGTGATTAGTGGTAAATAAGAGTGTTTTTCTCTAGAGCAATGCTATATGTACACCCCTTTTTAATAAATTACACAAAGGGCAATGCTATATGTACACCCCTTTTTTACACACAAGGGGGTGTACATATAGACACCCCCTTTCTCTATTTGAAAAAAAAAAAAAAGAATGTCAAAACTTGTGGGTTGTGACTAGGGCTGCGTGCAAACGAGTCGAGCCGCTCGCGAGCGCTCGAGTCGAAGCTCGAGTTTGACCGAACTCAAGTCGAGCTTCAGCCAGGGGCGAAGCCAGAAATTTTGGTTGATGGGGTCGGGGGGGTCTTACACGGTGTCTTATATAGATCCGCCCCTGCTGCCTGGGTCTTATTATTTTTTTAATGGGGTCTAAAAACAGTTAAAAATAAGACTCCTAAGGACTTGAAGTCCATTTCACCCGAAAAAACTCAATAGATTAGAATTTGAAATCCTCTCCCTCAAAAATCCATCCATCCAGATGGGGCCTAAAGCTGTGTTATAGCTGAAACTTCTTTGTAATGTACTCGCCTTTAAAAATACTACTTTTGACCTCAAGACATCAAAAAGTCTACACCTACAACAAAATAGAAAGTATCAACCATTATTTTGATAAGCTTGACATTCTTTGCCATCTCCTCTCCATCAACAAATTGCAAATATGATTCGATATGTATCCCAACAACTTAACCACAAATATACAGACTAAATCTTCATTTCACCATACTTCAATCAGCTAATTGGGTATCTTTCAAAACGTATCCAATCTTTTTGAATTCACCAAAAACCTTCAAGCATAGCTCCTTGAACTTATTAACTCTTTATATTCCCACGATCTTGGATATTGAACTTCAGGATTAAACGCCCAGCCGTAAGACCGTATGGGAGAGATAGAGCAATCCAACATGAATAACCAAGAGTAAACACATTTTACAGCCTATGGTTATTAGAATCATCAAAGTTATGTGAAGAAAACGGTACTTCATCGTTAGTGTAAATATTTACGACTAAGCTTAGATGGGAGGAAAGGTCCTCTTCAGTGAGTAATTACAAACAGAGAATTGGTGCAACCTGATTATGCTTTTATATGATAAGTTAAGCATATTTAACATTGAACTGGATTAAGGTTTTGAGGCATGATTCATATTTTTGTTTTATGTGATAGTACCAAATAGGTTTCATAGCTAGTTGGCAAAGCTGGTAATTATCAACTGGAATTATTATTCCCGTTAAGAATTTTTCCATCTAGACCATATTATAGAGCACGGTCTTGTGAGTGAAATCCTTTCCCTCACTAAGAAGACGTGCACATTTCAGTCACAAATGTTTCCAGATAGAAAAATAAATCGGGTGTAATCAAAAGGCAATGAAAGCATAGAAAAAAGAACTTTCTGATCTATAATACAATTACTCTACAGATAGCTACCCAAATGATTTCATCATCAGAAAATCAGACGTAACAATCAAAGCATAGACATTTTATGAGAAACACCCATCAACTGTCGAAAGCACATCTTCAAGAATCCGAACTAATCAATCAAAACGTGGTGAATCTGACAAATGACTTACTGATCCAATACAGTTAAAGTAACAATATCTTGGCTACCCAAGCAAATTTTGTCATAGAAATCAAGCTTAGAAATCTAATGTGAAAACCCCGTGAAAACTAGACGTGCAATTCCCAAAACCCAGATTCATCCATGCAATATACGACTGATTTGGTATTCGATTCAATAGCCAACGCCTCTAATAGCCACAATTTTTTTTTTTCCTTCCATCTCTAAATTCCCATCTGAATCCCAAATACACACATATCTAGAATCTTCTAATCCCTATTACAACATACCATCTGATCTCAAGAACCACTCACCATAAAGAACATTGATTTTGCCAACCCCTCCATCAGATTGATTCCCCATTGATGAACAATTATCTCTCAATCCCAGGCATCGGTTTTTTTCTTTAATTCCAAGGGTTTCCAGTAATGTATCCCTATGGTTCAGACGTGTTGCTAACCCTCACCAGTAAATCAAAACGGTTTTGCAAACCCAATCAACAGGCAACCAACCAAACATATACACGGGCTATGATGATAGTTCTACAGGCATTTGACAAACTATTAAGCATATCAAACAAAAGATAGAATTTTTCAGAACTAATCTCCGTTAATATTTCAAGAAAACACAGTACAAAACTCAAAAACAAACCAAGAACAAAAGGAAGTAATTGGGTTTTTTTTTTTTTTTTTTTTCCTTTGATACCTTTAGTCCGCCATTAAAACAGTTGCATCAGTAAAGTCTTGCTTTTAACGCTTTCCTGCAGAAGGCTTTGGGGGGTTTTCTTTTCTTTTCTCTCTTGAGAGGGAGAGAGTAGGAGATGGGAATGCACTGTGTGTAGTTATATGCAAACTATATATTTTTGAGTGTTGGGCAGCAAATGGTAAGAGCAAGATTTGAAAGTGTAAAATGTGCTTTGGTGAAACTACAAAAGAAAAGGAAAAATAAATTGAAGATGCTTACTCCAAAATATGCAATATATGTATCGACATGTGTCCAAGGTGCATTTATTGCACGACACGTGTCACTACATCATTTGTGGAAAACTATGGATGACTCCATAAGCCGAGCCATCCGATGGGTCCATAGCAAAACCGTGCAATATATATTGTTTAAAGTTTGTATTTTGCACCGATACATTGGGAAATGAGGATGTGTGACTTATTTTAGAAAATTTTACTCTATTTTTAAGTTGGTATATTATTGATCGAGATTGAGATGTGTTCATATTGACTTAGATATGATAATAGTAATTGCAAAAAAAAAAAAAAGATATGATAATAGAAGTCTATATAAAAAATATTAAAGGAATTATTCGCTTAAGGAAAGGTCGGCAACTCGACTGAGTACACTAATCGATATTCAACTTTTGACCCAACGAACGAACGACTGAGCACGTTAGTCGATATTGAGCTTTTGACTGAACGAACGAAATGAATTGCACGTGTAAATTAACACAAGTTCGTACTTTGATCAAGATTCATGTTGTAACTAGAAGCAAACGTAATTGAATTAATTGCACGCGATCATTAATATGCATAACAATCTTATGAATCATGCTACATTATCAGAATGATTTACAGATTGAGTTACAGAAAATACACATAACGAGCATTTGTTGTTGTTTTCATCATAATATTACCAACTAGAATCTTGGTTATTGCCTTAGTACTTGTGAGTTGTGACACTCCACACACTTAAATCTCAAGTATATCCGCAGAGAGAGGAAGAGGTGAGACCACTGATAGAAAAGGAAAAACAATGTTTACATTTATTGATGTTACAAACCAAGTTGACGATTCATGAGGGATGACTAAAATCCTAACAAGAAATTGTTAAATTCCCAATGGAAATAGTTTCAGTAAGTGAACACACAATGTGTCGAATGAACTTGTTACATAATGAGTCCATTCTGTGTTGGAAGATTTGAATTTCGAGCCCATTCTGTAAACGGTAGTTTAGATCACTCAGAGCCGAATCCATGTTCTCCATCATAGTACCTGGACAATAAACTATTTAATCATCAGATAGTTAAAAATATAAGGTGAATATCACAGGCTAGAATGTGTGCCTAACAAAGTCGAAACGAACCAATATTTCAATCTCATATCAGTCATGGTAGGACATGTAAGGGTGTCTAAAAAAATTGATGCAACATTTAAAATCTCCTCATGCATTCAATTTGGCCACTTGTAACTTCTAACAGATGATATTTACTAGCATTTCCCTAGTTTATGGACCTATTTTAACCTAAATCTGGCTTTCCAGGCATTGGATCGTTACTATAATCAAGTTTCAAATAACAAAGAAAGAATGGAAATCCCAAAGTACAGCAATGATATTGCGATAGATATACACGAGTAAGTGCCCAGAACATAAAGAACATAGATAAATACAGAAATCGCTACACACAACAAGAAAATTGCATTAGAAGATACCTTTTTCACTTGGTAGTCGAATCAAAATTGACGAGGAAGTAAATTTAGACCCGTTGCACTGGTGTTCTGTGAGGCTTGGGGGCTGAAGCAAATAGAGAAAACAATATCCAGCCAGTGAAATGAACAAGATAATTATATTAGAAAAAATAAGGATAAAAGTTATACAAGAATGCAAATAAGGAAATGACTGAACCAAGTGACTGAGTATTATCTATTAAAGACGCCAGATGCGCGTACTCAGGTTAAATTCTTGATCAGCTACTTAACACATAAATAAATGCCGAGGGGATTAAATCTTATGTCATTAACTGTTACACGGGGGACCTGAAAACTCAAATATGCTTTCAACAAGTCCAAAGTTTCTTAAAGTCATCTAGTAGTAGACTAATATAGCCACTTTGAGCAAATTTAATGCCCTTCAAAAGACTCTATATGAAAATAACTTTTAATAGCAAATATGCCCAAATTTGTATTTTGTCATTTCCCACACTAGATTTTAGATGTACATACATGCTTCAGAACATGGAGCTAAAGCTCACTGGCTAACATTAAAATAAGCTCACCATTTGGATTTCCTTGCTCATAGAAACATCGTAGAAGGTTGATGGCTTCTGTTGCCATTATTCCGCCGGTGCACTTGAACTCCTTCCTCGAAGCCCCATTACTGATTAAGACATGACAGCAATAACGAAACACATAGTTGGTGGTAAGAATTAGTACCGCCTGTCAATTAAAATATTATTCCTAATGTCACCACATAGAAACAATTCCCTTGACTAGCCAAAAATTTCATTAATCAAACCACTCTGTTACTTTATTCTATGATGATACAATGATACTATTTAATCACGAGATATAATGAAGTAAACATAAAGGCCTGAAACCAAATTAAGTTCTCATTTTTCATATCCATTATGTACAGATTCAAGCATCTTACGAAGAGAAAAGGTCCAGAATTCTGACATGTCTCAAAAAAGATTAACTATCAACCAGGAAACTTATATTCAGCGTTTACTAGTATTCTGACACAGGGTCGCGGCAGTTCCATAATCCATATACTCTCACTTAATAAATCGTGTGCTTGTCTATCCTTGATCCTAAATGTAAATGTGCAGAGAATAATTGGATTCTTTACATGTGGAGTCGTGCAATTATAATTCTATTGAGCAATATAAGGACTCAAGAATATCAGGCCACAGAAGATCAAAATAGCCGGGATATGTGAATTGGCTTTGTGGTTGCCACATATCATCTCAGATGAGCATTTTTGCACATGCCATAAGAAGTAAAAGAATCATGACACTGCACTCTCTGAATCTTAAATATTAAATGAGAGAGAACGTAACTAAATATTCAGTAACAGATCGTACAAAAGATCATGAAGTTCTACACTATGAATTTAGAATATTATATGACAGACCATAACTAAGTATTCAATGTTCACTCTAACAATCACGAATCTTGAGCTCTTGCTTATGGTTCAATTTTAGGATCATAATGGAAGTTCACCAGTCAGTATTCTCCACCAATTACATGAATCAATGAGGTTTTCTTATTTGTTTTAGATAAACATAAAAGATATAAGAGATAAAATTGTTCTGGAACCGCACCTTGTAGGCATCCCAGTACCACCTGTGTGCAAAGACAAAATTGATCCACAACCTCCAAACTTATCATTTGCACACCCATAAAATACTTCTTTTATCCCTGGCAAAGAACCACGAAATGACAGCTAATACTTCACGTATGAATAAAAAAATTCAAACAATGTGCAAATCAGTAGCTATACCGATAATTGATAAGGCCGCTGCACACATTATACATGGCTCACATGTGACATAAAGTGTGCATCTTGAAAAATTCAAAGCGACTTCTTCCCTAGTCATTCCATTGTTCCTCCACTGGTCAAGCAGCACATCAATTGCTTCCATCTCTGCATGTCGAGTAGCCTGCAAATGCAGCTTAGATATTAATAACGACATTTAATTGTGTTTGCATGTTTGTGTGTGTGTGTGTGCTTGATATGCAATTAAACGATGTAAGCAATTACATAAAGTCTGAAATGTTTCAAGGATGCCCCTTACCGCAGATATGAGGACAAGTTATCACGCAACATACTGCATTTAGTTAATTATGAACTTTCAAGTGATTAATCACTTATAAACAAGTGGCACATGGAAAACTGACTCGAGCGCAGATCAGGTGGGAGCAAATTTTCATTTAAGTGGTCAAGGCCTTGAGGATGACGTAGAAAATCTCTTCAGAGTATTGCAGTCAAGAAGTTAAAAGTAGATTCAAAAATATTTACATGTTTCAAAAAATATGGTAAAAATGAAAATATATGTCCATCAACATTGAAAAAGGGCGAGCAGTTAATTGAATTGAGTAGTCCATAAATAAAAGGGTAATCAACTCACACAAAGGTAACAAAACTTTCACAGATATTGCAATCCTCCAAATACCAAATTCAAACACCATTGGTATCTTAAATTGTGTTTCCAATTTCCATATCCCAAACTCCAGCATGGACCCATCACAGTACTTCTATTTACTGAGTGCAAAGAATAACTCAGATGGATTCTTTTATCCTAGAACTGTTTCCATTTTTTCATACCATTTTGTCATAGAACACGCTATAAATAACCAGATAAAACTTCTAAGGGTGTGATTGGATATAAACTTAACCAAAAAATAACCAATCAAAACTCAAATTTAACTCAACTTTAACCCAACCCCACGAAATAATATCAACCAATCATTCTTACACATCACATAAAATTTAACTCACTATTCATCTACTCACATAATTTTAAGTAACCATCACTTCTAATAATTTTTCTCCTACATTTACATCAAATAAACTTTAATTATTTTATCTTAACACCTTTTTCAAAATTAACTATGGTTAAAAAAAACCAATCAAATCCATCTCCAATCACACCCTAAAGGGGTGATTGTTTATGGTTTGAATAGTAAAAAAACTAGAATTTTTTAATTATGGTTAAGTTTAAGAAAAAATTGTATGGTTAGTTGTTAGTGGATATATTAAAATAGTATTTAAAATAAAATAATTAAAGTTGATTTGATGTAAAGTAGGAGAAAAATGATTGGAAGTGATAGTTAGTTAAAATTAGTTAGAATTATGTGAGTGGATGAATAGTGAATTAAAGTTGATGTGATATGTAATAATGATTTGTTGATGTTATTTAATTATATAATAATATTGGGATAGTGGGGTTGAGTTAAAGTTGAGTTAAATTTGAATTTGAGTAAAAAAAATTACTGTAGGGATGATAAACAATCATGCCCTAAGGGTTCCATAAGGCAGTACTGTCTTTTGGGATCTAAAGGTCATGCCAATCATGTTACCAACTGCATCCAATAAAGGTGTTTTGACCACTAAAGATTTAGAATGGTTGCAGTAGTTTATCAGCTGCAGATGTTTACAGTTCGGCAACACCTATACCAAGTGCTGGTTACGACAGTAGCCGTGATTGTAGGAGGTCAAAGAAGACATTCAAAGAATTGTGGAATGCTAATAGTTTTGGAGATGAAAAAAATAAAGGAAAAAAAATTACGTTTAATAGGCTAGCTTAAAAGAGAGGCAATACATTTCTAGTCTCAGTTGTTCGGTTTCTCCCTGAAGAAATGACCTTTTGATCCTCAACGATCACACAACTGGAAAATGTAAGAAAACGGAAACTGATGAGAACAAAATAAGAATACCTCATACCTAGAAATGTTTAGACATTTCAATCTCAGTTTCATCAATCAACATCCGAGTTGCCTGCTAAGGCAATTGGATTGAACAAAGACTATCATTATTCAAGGTATGGAGAATTAGATGAAAGTGTTATTTCATATCAACCTTATTTGGACTAAGGATGACTTATTTTTTACGCTTTCCTCCCGCTCCCAAATGTATATTGTAGGAAGACAAAAAAGTATCTTACCCGACAGGTACTTCAAGGTTGTCCATTGCAAGCTTTGCCTAGAAGAAGAACAAGAAAGCATAATAATGCATTTGAGATCTCTATGTACACACAGAGAAATGTATAGAAGCATGAAAACAAATATAATAGTCACGTGATACCCTGGAAACCTTGAAATGTAGATATTTGCAATGAACAATATTACACCAAATGAATTTTATTTGCTAGAAGTTATTTAAGAAAAAAATGGATCATCAATTATATTTTGGTGATGTATCAAATGGAAGAGCCCATAAAAAGTTATGAAGGAACAAAAAAAAAAAAGGAAAGAGGTTACCACATTTTGACTATGAAGTACCAGATTATTGAAAGAGAAAACGGAACTCCAAATACAGTCTCTCAATAAGACTGAAGAAAAATGAAAGTGAAGGATAAAAAAGGACACTCCTCGAACCTGTTCTACAGCAAGCTTCATAAATGCCACAGTCTCCATATCTTCAACAGTCCCCTCATCAGAAGACGCCATTTTTGCTAAATAAAAGGAAGGCATAAAAAACGAGTTGTATCAAATATGTTAAAAAAACCACAAATAGTTCATTTCTTTAAGAGGCATTTCCACAAACAGATAGAAGGCACCATTAGAACATTCGTGACTTGAGCATGCGAGCTCGTTTCTACTTGTTACGAGCAAGATTGTGAAGGAAACGCTATAGAAGGTGTAGCAGTACAGTAATTCTGACCTTGTATCGGGAGATAGGCTCCTTCTGGATTTGGTGGCCAGTCGAGTAAAGCGAAAATCGCCTTCAGTTATGCACTTTTGATCAATATATCTGAAGAAAAAATAGGGTGGGACAGGTGAAAGTGGAGTCAGGAAGATAGGTGGAAATTGAAAAGGGTGGAAAGATGAATCGGACGCCGTAGCAGTGCGGCGGCGGCCGGAGGAGAGCGGCGGGGCTGGAAAAAGATGGGAAATGGTGGAGACAAATCAGAAGTAATAAATATTAAATAGTAATAAATTTCGCGTAAATTTTAAAATCTTATTTCTGCGACAATTTTTTTAACCAGATTGGTACGTTACAACTTACAAATTAAATCATCTAACGCACGTCTCACTCGGAGTCGGTCGATCATCCGCTTGACTATATGCAGCTCGGTTTGACCGTGGTTCGAGTTCGGCGGGATAACTCGGGCCGGCATGAACTCGACTGACATGGCTTAGCCGATGCACGAGTTTAAAACGGAGCCACGGTCACTGACGCAGGGGCGTGCTTGGACCACGGCTAACGGAACGGCGCGTAGACGGCAAGTCGGATGGACTCGGTGCAAGGGCACGCACTCGGGGGTTTGACTCGGACTCGGTGCACGGGCACGCACTCGACGGCTCAGCTCCAACGGTCGGACGAGAGGAGATCACGGGCACGAGACGACGAGCACGCATTATAAATTACGATACGATGGTTAAAGATTATCTAGACGGTACTAGGGTTCATGCGATTAAATACGGATCTGAAATTTACCCGATTATTGAAACCAGATAAAACTAGGGTTCAATTCTCGAAGATTCCTAACTCATTTTAAGTCAACATTTAAATCACTAATTTCTATGTAATTTATATGGATTTTACATCCATCAATTGTAGCTAAAATCATATCCGACTAATTTTCTAAAATCCCGCATTCAATCGGCTAAAGTCCCGATCTTATAATTAAGTCAAACGGTAATAGTTGACCTGATTATAAATTCCGACAGAATAGTTCTGTAATGAAACCAAAGCATCTCCTTTTTTTTATTATTTTGCAATATAATGTTCTAAAATTGACATATTTTGTCTCAAATTACATAAAACTAAACTATTTCTCTTGAAATTTAAAATTTTTAAAATGGCACTAGAGATCTATAACTAAATTAATGATAAAATTTAAATAAAAATTCAAAACTAATTTATGACTTTTGATATCCATAACTTTTAATAATTAATTTTCGATGGATGAATCAATTATTAAAATTGAATGGAGGTGAAGATGATGATTAAAGGAAGTGACGCCACTTTACTAGACCGTAAGCCTTGGTGACAACTCTCGTGCTTAGTCGTCACTCACGTGTACTACAATGACGCCACATAACCCAAGCTAGAAGGTGAGTCACTTGTGCAAATATAAATAGGTAAAATTGAATGGAGGTGAAAGATGATGATTAAAGGAAGTGGTGCCACTTGTCTAGACCGATATATATATTAAATTACTAAAAATACTTTTTTTATATATATTTAAACGATATAAGACAAGTGATTAATAGTAATTTTACTTAATAAATTTCGAGTCGAGTTTAAGCATTTGATTTTTGAATCGAGCTCGAGCTATTGTATTTTCTTATCGCGTCGAGCTCGAGCTGCTAAAAAAAAATTCGATCCTGCTCGATAAAGTCAATACTCGACTCGACTCATTTGCAGTCCTAGTTGTGACTCGTCAAAGTTGTGCTCATAGTACGCGATAGTGGCGTAGTGTGCATGGAACTGTTCACAAAACATTAGATATTGTTAAAAAAAATATCACTTCACATACAAAGATAACACATTTAACACATTAAATTGATATAATTATTTCCACCTATGTAAAGATTAAACTCATCATAGAAATGTTTGAGAAAAAATATTTCTTCAAATGTCCAGAAATACAATATATATATATATATATATATATATATATATATATATATATATATTCAATCAAATCAGCTAATGATCCAAAAAATTAAGCAAATGATCCAAAAGCCACAAAAGAATACCATCTCATCAAACCAAACCAATCAAACAAACATGCATTTCCAAAAGGGGCTATTCTTTTAACAAGAAAATTCTCCACAAGCCCAACAATTCATCAATTAACCAACCAAACAATCCTAAACACAAAATAAAAATTAAAACGAAAAAAAAAATAAAAAAAAAATTCGACGACTCAGTTAACACCCAGCCTTTCTCTCCACTGTACTATGATAAATTCACACAGAAGAGACAAAAAGAAACTCCTGCATCAAGATAAACACAAAACGAGAGAGGTAGAGATAGAAATTACACGAAAACTATACACCCGGTCAACACGATGATGAACTCGCCTGCTCTGCGCCACCTTTTCAACAAGAAGATACTTTTTTTTTTTTTTTTTTGCTTTTTTTCCAAACAGCTCGAGCAGGAATCAAGAAAATGCTAAACTGGTATGACATCAATCTTTGAAGTGTCCTCACACGTCAAAACGATGCCTTCAAGACTGGCGGGAAGAATGCATTTACTCCACTGACATCCGGTCGAGAATGGCTCAGATGGGGGAACTATCATTAACACATTCTCATTCCTTTGCACAACTCCCATTACACTCACAGTGCTTCCTTCTTTGATGTACCTGATAATATAGATTAAAAAAAAAAAAAAAGCTTAGAGTGATTATCGAGAAGCCATTAACATTAGTGAACACATCACACACATGAGGCCTCTCTCTATGATTTTAGAGTGGACCTTGTTGGCAAATTCATCACAACCTAATTTTTAAAACTCGTCCTTCAAGATCGGCCAAATTAAAAAACGAAAAGTTACAGAGTTACAGAGCAGGACAAGTGCATAGTTGGTTTCTTTTTGTAAATTGTAATTATTTGAATCTGAAGAGTATTGACCGTTGTTAATTCATATTACAATGTACGGCTTGACATTTTTCTCTCATAACTTAAACAAGATAGAACACATCAACATGCAATAAAAAAAAAAATATTTGACACACCAGAGAGAGAGAGAGAGAGAGAGAGAGAGAGAGAGAGAGAGAGAGAGAGAGAGAGAGAGAGAGAGAGAAAGAGAGAGGGGCAAATTGTACCCTTCTTTGAGGCGCATCACACGGTCATCGCTCGAGAGGTTTCTCCCTCCCAACCACCTGACAAAATCGGGAGACATATCCTTGTTCGATGGGTTAATGTCAACCACCACAGATTCATCCACATACGGTGTAACCCGTGCACCATACCCAGTTTTCACCAAAGCCCTCAACCCAGATTGGAAGTCCGAAATATAGAAATCAACAACGTGCCTCTACGCACACATAAGATAAAAATCATGTTCAGAATTACTTCAGTGAGTGAATTAAACCAGAGATAATGACATTAACCTGCCAATAGGAAGTCAAAAGCATCCACTAACAGGGAAAGGAAATGAAGAAACAAGAAAGGAGAGTCACAAATTTAGTCGTATCGCAGTAAAAGCCCCCACTTTGTCAATTGGGTCAACAGTTAACCATTCATACAGTTGGTTCCATTTAAACAAAATTGCACAAGCATTTAATTTTTCAAAATTGCACATAATACATACATATGCACACACAGTCACATAAAGATGGAATTCAGATTTTATCAAGCACAGTAGGTAAAAGCTGTCACACACATTGTTTGCTTTTTTCTTTAAGTTTTCAAAAAGCAGAGTTCTCATGACTCAAAACCTCGGCATGTTAACAAGCATAAGGTTAACTCGAAATGTTTTAGATGAAAACTGAAAAAACATTTTCTCATTGTCCATCAATGATTGGCCAAGGTATTAAAAATAGAGTGAACAGTATGTTCAGTGGAGCAAAAAATTTACAATATGCATGAACCAGACAATCTCTCACCTCTGATGTACGAAGGCCCCAGGTAAAGCGGCGGTGTGTGGGGTTTGCTGCTTTGGAATCCCATCCTCTGTACTCATACAAACTTGTTGATGTATAAACACATCGGGGAATTTTTTGGAATGACGACTCCAGAGGAACATTTCCACATGTGACAACCTATCAAGCAAAATTTTAAAAAAAGAAAAACGAAAGAAAAGAAAAAAAAAAACAAAACGAACTTGTCAGGACTTCTAACAGTGACCAGCTTTCGGGAATTCAATTACAAAAAGGTAAAACAGTACTCAAAGAATATAATATTATTAGAAAACATCAGGAAATATCAAGAAACAGATTCATCACAACACTACATGAACTAAATCTTCAGAGACTGACTACAGTAGGAATGCACATAATACTATGTTCCCTAAGATTAAAGTAACAGTTGCATTGTTTGGGTTAAAAAATCCTAGCTGTTATCAATAAAACTGTATCAGAACCATAGAACTTTTATTCCTGGATTTGCAGCTCTGCAGCATATGAGCAAACATGTTACATCTGTTACTTCCAAACACACATTTACTGTCAGCAGTATGCTATTACGTATCAATCAAAATACTTCAATACAACATTAATATTCCCACGACCAAACGCAACTGTACATCACACAGTTGTTTTTTATATCATCAAAACAGTGAAATCGGATTTTAAAATGAACTGCAAGAAAGAACATGTTCTCGGATAATACGATTTTCTTTTAAATAAACATACCCCAGAAACTTTGACAAATTGGCCATCTTTTGCAGTTCGCAGCTCAGCATCTGGATAACTAGCTATATAACTAGTAATAGCCCTTCTTCCCCAACAAGTGTTCCAGGTAAATAAAGTTGCCACCAAAGCAAAAAGTACAGCAACAGCCACGAGCAGAATCGGGTTTCGAACAGCTCCAAGTATAAAACCACCAGCAATAAATCCCATGACAAATATAAGAATGATAACCCAAAGGATCGGCCTAGGGAAGCTCTTACGAAAAGAATACTCATCATCCCGGTTAAGGTGGGTAACAGCCTGATTGTTAACAATAGAAGCATTGTGCATCTTCATAGAGCCCATAGACTCCAGCGGGCCGGATACCTTCCGAGGAGCCCCGGACGAGTTCAATGGGCCTGATGTGATAGGCCCAGATGTAATGAGGCCAGTAGTTGGCAAGACAGGAGGGAGAGGCCCAGAGTTCTGACGAGAAACGGCTGTCCCACCTCCCTGTGGGCCCGATGATTTCTTCAAAGGCTCGCCGTGTTTGTTAAGTGGGCCCGAATTTGTCTTCTTCATTGAGGCTGATCCAGTGGCAGGGCCACGGCCCACAGAGTTCAATTGTCCAGAGTTCGAATGGGCACCGCCAAAAGAGCCCGTCCTCGAGGGAGCACCTGTTACGGGCCCAGATTTACGGGATCTGGAGCCGTCCGTAGGAATATCAAACATTTTTCCAAGTTCGCCTGATTTTTTTATATCACCTCCAGTGTAAGGCATGGCCACTGAGCTCATTGTTGGAGTCTTCTCTTTTGGCTGCTCAGGCCGGCCCGAAACGTAAAGGCCATTGCTCAATTTATGAGAGGGAAACCGAGAACCCATGTAGCAAGCTTAAATTCGATTCTCCAAAGAGGACAAGAAATCAAAGAAAAGATGGTACGCAAAAGAATCCACCAACAAGACCAATTTATTCAAGTATGGCACTCAGAAGATCAACAACGCCCGATGAGATCCACCAGATAATACACCTAGAAAGTAATATGGAGAACAGCACATAACCGAGGGTTAAGTATATATATATTTGTAATCCACTTCAAAATTAAATTTAAGAGCCATCTTTAGTTAAAAGAAGTTATTAGCAAGCTAAAGCACGCGTCACAAAAGTCGACAACAGCAATATCTAATGCGCCAACTCACTCCCACCAAAAGTACCCCACTCGAAAAGTATTTATTTCTCAATAAATGTATGTAAGGATATCCCTAAAGCAATAAATCGGCAGATAGGAAATGTGAACCATACTCGCACCAGCTGTTAATCGAGCAATGAGTATCCAAAGCGATTATAGCAATTTGAATAATAAACACCAAATCGAGCTGCCGCATTAATACTTCCGACGTGTGAAATTCGAAAAATGCTTCTCAGCTGAGTAAGTAATAAAACTCATTCCTCACATAAAAATTTATCCAAAAATGCAAGACAGCTAAACTCTAAAGTTGTCATCTACTGTATCCTTTACAATTCGAGCTGGACATACTAAAATTGAAGTCACCAAAAGGAAAATAGTACTGTCTAAATCCCAGATCTGATAACTGACTCCCCTCCGAATACAGTGATTAAACTCCGAAAACAACATAAAATTCCACAAGCCAGTCAGTAGTAAGAATCTCTTTCAGAAATATTCACAGGGACAGCTAAAATCAAGCCTCACACAATCAACTAAAACCTGAACTTCACAGATCCAGAAAAAAACAAACAGAACAGAAGCAACACACCAATTCGGCCTTTCACAACAACGTGAAAAAAAAAA